AAGAATCGTGAGAAGAGCAGTGTCAAATCGGTTAAAATGACCAGAAAAAATACATGGTGAACAATCGATGCGTTCTATTACAGCCGCAGTGAACACATCGTAAAACGCCTCTGTTTTGCGGTTCGGACAAGTGGGGGAAATATAGATGTTAGCCAGTAAAATTGAACAGTACGTACTAATACATCTTGCCTTGCACTTCAGAACTAAGCAACTGACATGTTGAGTCGAGAAGCAAAACCAGACTTTCGTAGATAGGCATCAAGAAGTGTCGGTACAAATGATGACTTCACCGACACGATCACATTAAGTGCAACGGCAGTCAATCTGATGACGCTTCTATCCATACAAATGCGTCATCTACTTCCTCAAGAAGCCAGATCTCGTGTACCAAAACAAGATTAAGCTGTGAATACTCTCAGGAATTGATGGTACTCGTTAGTTCATCCATTTCCCTAAAAGCGAGTGGATGCTTGAGGTGACGTTGGCATGTTCATGCTTCCCAATTTTGTCTTCCGAAAAGTAACCTAACAATAAGTGAAGTGTTTGCTAACACAACTATTGCGCTTCCTGTAAATTGGTTTTTACTTTACACCTTATGAGGTGGATGATGAAAAATGCACAGGCTTTGAGCGCGGAAACAGCGACTTCAAAATATGGCGCGTATAGGTTAACATGATACAATGTGTAGCTGGATAAAACGAAGTGAAAAAGACGATAGTTTGAAGCCAAATGCGTGTGTGCGTTAAAATTTCCACAGAATGGAATCGTAGACCACGGTAAAATTTGAAGACTCCGCCTTGGTAGTGTACATACAAAATAGCCTGATGGCTGGTGATGTTGAGGGCGCGGCGATCGGTGGCTCCAGTGACATTTCTGCGGGCTGCACCTAGAACTTGACACATGTTGCGCCTAGCTGTTAAAGCTACCGAAGTCGCAATTTAAACACATCGAGCAGCAACGGTTGTATAAGTGGATCGGTTTATGGAGGTTAATTTTTGTGAATCCGAGGTGTAAGTGTTACCGGTGCTGCCTCAGTCGACATATTGGATAAGAGGATATGGGCGGTGGAGCCGGCCATGCTTCGATGTTTCGCGATGACGAGTTGGTTCGTGGTTCAATAGGTTTCCGGTACAGCGAAACCGTTTGGAAGGTCTGACACCTTTCCTTGGGTTTGTGGTGGTAGTTGAGGGAGACAGATGAGCAAGCCGTGTTATTGACACCTCTGGCGAAACGATATTCGCATTAAGGTGAAATTCGGTTTTGTTGTAGTTCTGTGTTTATAGTATTACACAATTTACGAGTTGAACCGTCGTATACACAAAACACGACAAAGTGAGCCTAGCATACCATTATACTTCCTTACTCCGGTTCGACACACACTGGCGCAATTCGGATGGTCATGACTCGTACAGTAAGAGCTAACCAGGCCTAACCAGTCCATAGTAAACTGTTGAACCTGGCGACTAAGTGTCGCAACTTGTGTTTGCAGAGCTTCTATAATTGACTGTAAGCCAGTGCCCTGCGACGCGACAGCATTGATCTTGCTGGTGTCTGCGTGTGGCTGTGATCGTTCAATGACTCGATGCGCCAAATCTGTTAGCTGAGTAAGCGAAACGAAGCTCAGAATAGCAGGAATCGCTTGCGTTTCTTCCGGTAGACGCTGTAGCTACAGTTCGCGAAGTAAAGTCTCGTCCGTGGTTGAGGAACCAAGGAGTTGCTGCATCTCACGTAGCAGAATTGAGGGCAGTTTGTCGCCCAACTGCAGGTCTCTGAAAAACTGCTGCAGGCGAACTTTCTCAGAGGGCATGACACGCTTAATCGTGGCCTCCTTGAGAGCCTCCTAATGATTTTCGGTCTGAGAATTAATGTCTCGACCCTGCATTGATATCTCCTTGGGGAGATAGGATTTGTGCTTGCTATACTTCGCGCTGTCGGGAGTGATTCTGTTTGTATAAAACTGAGCCTCAAGATGAGCGAACCACAAAAGAGGATTCATTTCCCAAAAGGAGAGAGACTCTAAATTATGGTCGACAGCATCCATAGTTTAAAAAATGACGCAAAAATATGCAACCTATTGCAAAAAGAAACCGGAAAACAAAAAATAAATGGAACGAGCTCACCGGAGAAAGGTTCGAAATATCCGGCGGTGAGATTGTTCCGGAGTTGGGGGTACCAATTTAGCGAGTAGCCTGTAGCGGGAGCTCGGAGAGCAATTCGAGAAGGCAGATCGGGTTGCAGGAAAACTTTTATTTGTACAGTAAAAGATTCCCTGTTACCTAGCTATTAAAAAGGAAACCGTTTAACCTCTGGCTAGGGGAACGGAGGATGCGCAGCACACAGGGCAGTCGCGCGTTGCAACCGTAACGAGCGCCAAGCAGTAATGGCGATGAGGAAGTCAAGCATTCGAACCCAGTGATCAGTATAACAAACCACACCGGTCGTCTAGGTGTACAATGAAATAATTTTAGTTAGAATTTTACACAGGCAAATCGGGGAATATCCCGACTGCTACAGGACTTCGAAAACATCTCTAATGCATCGGGAAAAGGAAGTGACGTAAGATTGGCAGATGATTCACCACTAATGGTGTATATTTTATAAGATGCATCGAATCAGATGCAAGATTACAAGCGAGTCGATCAAAAATAAGTGTGACGTTTCAATTAATGTCTCCTCGACGATATAGAGTAGCCTGACTGACCACAACCACAGCGGCGGATAGCTCAAAACGTGGGATATTCAGTCTTGACCAAGCAAAGAGAGACCTCAATTCGACTAGAAGACGTTACTCGCTCACCATTACTTTTCACTCCAGCGTACACAACAGCCCCGTAATCCGAAGCGTACAAAAACACTGTAATGTGGTTACGGCTCCGCAATACTCTGGCTTAATATAGCAAAATAGATGTACCAATTCCAGAAGATTAAGGTCAACAAGTACGTTGTACCGCACTTTCTTGATCATCCTTTAACAAGCACCGCGCCGACGATTGCAAAGGCGTGTTTAAATCGACAGCGAGAAAAGAGTGCTCTCAGATTTGTGATCCGTTGGCGCTGAGTTTCGTCGGCACTATTAAGCTACACACCGACTGGAGCTTCCTTGTTCCTCATAAACAGAAGCCATCAGCATAATAGTTAAATGAATGAACTGTAACTCGTGTGGTAATTCAAAGCTCGTTACTTCAAAACATCACAATACCCTTTTAGTCTAGATTCGACACGCCTAAAAGAAACGGTGCTCAAGCTCGTTGGTAAGTAAACCCGAAGTGCGGCACACAGCGAGTTGTTTGGGTTGATGAGAAAAAAATAACTAGCGCATGTGCATCTCACCACCATTACAAATGTTAGTACAATACATGCGTAAGTTACAAATGGGACCAGTTTAGGGAAATGCCCTGTATCACTACCCTCGGGAGTATATGAGAAGAAAAAAGAACGATCATGGAGGCACGCTAAGATGACGCGAGACGGGCACGGAGAAGTTGATTCGCAATGCGATGCAACACCGATCCTCACAGCTAAAACAGAAAGAAGTTACAGTTGCGAAATAACATACATATATATTAGCAACGGTCTATATAATAGACATTGTGCCATCGAGACACCATGGAATGGACGCGTATAATGGGTACAAAGATCAAAAACGGATAACACACAATGAATTATATACTGTTTTTCACACGTCGTTTAAGCATATTTGTATAAGTTTAATGATTGCGGTTTTGATATGTAGAAACAATGCAGAGACTTATGCAAGCGTTCCAGTGTATGTGATTACACGCCATTTTCTCATGAGTCTCCAACCAGCGAGGTTCTTCGTCTCGGACTCTCCAGCTAGGAAGACCTACGGGCCGACAACAGCTAGAGTGAAAGTCAGCTTGTTGACGTTTGTCGTCATGTGGTAGGTTGGTCACCACGCGATTTCTTCCAGTGCGGTCCTGCGCGAGCGAATAGAACGCGCCGTGATGAACGTACCAACGGCATGCGTAGGAGCTGATCAAACCACCTCGGCGCGGCGATATTAGCTTGTCAAGAGGTAGACCCATATTACCAAGGACGCGACCTCTAACACCGACGTTCCTAATGTCGTGTTCCCATCACACCCCAGCTATCTTCCGCAGACAACTGTTGTCAAAGGCCGAAATCCAACGCAAGTTATTTACACGGATCGGCCAGGGCTCGCTTCCATACAATAGGACCGCGCGAACAAAGACATTGTAGACCCAATCCTACGCCGAGAGTGAGAGGTCACCGCGAAAGCTGATCGGGCTTTGACAATACGGAGCGAGATTTCTTTACCAATGGTGCCATCAGAACAGACGCAGCTTCCAAGGTAGATGAAGCTATCTACTTGGTCAAGCTGCACGCCTACTAGAATCGGCACGGGGTAGGTGGAAGCCATTCCTGGAGTAGGACCTTGCATTTCAATGGAGCGGTCATGCCATACTTGGTAGCTTCAATCACTAAGCGGTTTAGAACGACTTACATGATATGTGGGTCAACAAGTAAGGTAATATTATCAGCATAGTTCAGGGCAGCCGCGCGGTTGCCCGGAAGAAGCTCTACGTCAGAACTCTGGAGACCTTATAGAGAGAATAACAAGACATCCTTAATCGCAAAGTTAAAGAGAAATGTGGACAGGAGGCGTTCCTGTCGCATACCGCTAGTGACGGCGAAATGTGAGGGGAACTTACCGTAAGCTCTCACTCTACCAGACATCGTTGTATAAAGCTCGAAGTATGGCGGTATACTTTTCAGGTACCCCATTCCTTTGCAGACAATGCCACAGAGTAGGCAAATCGACCGAGTAGTACGCAGCTCGGATTTACAAAGAGACGACAATGGCAGATTGGCGATAAAGGTGGCAAAATAATATAAAACTGAAAGAAGTGTTACGCGACCATAGAAATTAGCAATAATCAGGCTTATATTGTATCAAGAAGGGAAAGAAAATAAACACGGAAAGCATCTAAGTTCCGCAAAAAGTGAAGAATACAGGATCAATTCGGCCGAGAAGTCAAACTGGGACAATGTCGAAGGATGGTATCGAGAACACTAATGACGGCCTCGGAAACGTGGGTCTTGGAGGTAAAGGGATCCGCAGAGTCACAGGTAATAGTTAAAACTGGATCGATGGGTAACCGACCTAGGGAGACAGAAGAGACAAGTGTGATGGTGTCATGAAGAAGTCGATGGGAGCAACGATAGTTTCTGAAGCCGTTGTGTATGCTAACGAGTACAGGGAGAATTGACATCCACATATTTACGAGAAAATCAGAACAGTGCATGAAAAAAGAATGTATACGAGTGACAGAGAAAGGGGACGTAAATTAATCGCGAATCGACTATGTACGTGTAGCTTCACGCAGTGAGGATATAATCCATATGTGCACACTAATAGAGGAAGTTTGGATTTTGTCGTCGGTGTAAAGTGCCAAAAACTGCAACATGCGCATGGTGGTTCGTTAGCTTACAATGTCGGGGAGCAAACACAGTGCGAGCTATGTAGCTTACAGAGCTGTGCCTCGAATATTATGAGGATTAGTGCTTTATTTAACTCACCCAGGAACGGGACTCCCTTTTCTTTGGCGAGGGATTCGGCACCACCGTAGGAGAACAGATTGGAGCAATGGGAGCAATTTGGGCACCGGTAACCACTCATGTTTTCGATCAGCCCAATAACGTTCAAGTTTGTTTTGGCACAAAAACCCAGTTCGCGCCGTACATCACATAAAGAGACTCGCTGAAATGAGAGGGGACATCAAGGAACAAATGCAAGAATATTATCTGATATATATATCTAAATGTGGGAGCAAACTGAAAGCGAGCCTCAAAATGCATGGGTGTCGTCTGTTATGCAAAGGAGACAACTTTTCGAAAATAAGAGTGAGAACACCTGCACTAATTAGCCTGCATTAGTATGTGATTGTATCGGACATAGGAACCAACCAATTTGCTCTGAATGAAGCCAAGCGTTAAAATGGTACCCATAAGAAGTTTATAGTCACTAGCCTTCGGATTATAGAGCAATATCAAGGATGCACAGACTAGCCAGTTTGAGACACTGGTTTCGATAAGTAACATGAATGCCTAGGGGGTGTTTGTACCCAAATTACAAGGCTAGTGATCGAGGTAGAGTAATCATCAGGTATTAAATATTGACCGCTGGGCCCAACACTATTAGTTCGGTGGTCCCTCAAAGTAGAAGTTAGGTGTCGTCCTTTTGCGTGGTGCATAGCGAGGAGTAACTTGAGGTCCTCGGCTTGTAACCACTATGCCACAGCCCCCAACAGTGGCAAGAATATGCATCTCACTATACTCTGCATGGTTGGCTTGCCAAACTACCTCCCCGTGGTGTCAGCTGGGTGGTTCGGGATTACCCTGTTCCAGCCAATATTTCGGCGATAGTGTCACAGAACGTGGTGGGTGTTCGACTGGCAAAAGTTCTCTGCATAAAATGTCACGTATGTCCGTTTAACAGTGCGAAGTGGCGGATGTGACTCGCCAATAAATAAGGTCACTACCCCTTAGTTCACTTCGGTGAAGCATTGTAATGCAGGACCCTCGTGCTGAAATCGGTGGAGGGGGGAGATTGAGCTCTTGTTTGTTAACCGACCAAACAAAAGGCATATGAACAGAGTAAACAATTACCGGCTCCCAATGGGCGCGATTCCATGAGTTCGTCTTGCTGTCTTGTGGGAGGACTACTTAGCCAAAGGCTCGGGGTGAGTTCTCGTAAGCCAACACCTACTTCGGCTTGCGCAAGCGAGTAGTATCACGCTCTTGAGAAAAACCATGGACTGTCCTACAATGTGCTCATCAGTTACCGTTTCGGGTTCTCATATTCACGCAACTTCATCATACGCCAATTGTTTGTTTACTAACAATCCTTGTTATTCATCACCTGATTCCTGTGTTAAGGAATCTGTCTGCGATTCCGGTTGCATCGCGGCGCTACTCCGACTTCGATCTTCGTTCTGTCTGGCAAGCTTCAACGTGGGGACTCTCATGCAGGTTGGACAGCAAGCCGGACTAGCTCGCACCCTAGAGTCCTTGTATGCAAAAGTCTGCTGTCTTTCCCAAACCGTAGCGCAAGACCCCTGAAATGTGCTTCCGCTGACATCCCCACTGGAAAAAGGCCAGATATCACTTGCACTTTTTTGGAGATCCAAAAACAGCCTCAGTGCGCTAGCTATGGCAATAAGTGGTAACGCCGAAGCTGCACTCAGTTCAGCTCCGTTAAACAATGAAATAAATAAATAAATAGTTTATTCTCAAATTTATAGAGACACCAAATCAGGCGTGATCCGAGCACTAAAGTGCGTGGATCCAGTTGCCACAAATCACACCGCAAGAATAGCGATAAATAACAACGGTAAGACAGTAGGGTTGAATGCAAAATAATTGAAGCAGGAAGTGCGTTAAACTAACCAGAATGAAACGAATATTAATAACCAGAGGCAAGAAATCGAGGGCAGGAACGCCACTGACTGCGTGATTGCGCCATGTCTGATATAGTCTCCAACTATTAGTGTGGACTATCCCGAGGCCCTCCATCCACAAAGACGACATGCACCAGCCGGAGCAAGTCTCTAAGTCAATTTCTCAGTGCCTATATACCAAGTCATGGGCTGGTCACCTCGCGATTTCGCCCAACTTGGTGCAGACAGGGCGTATAATGATCGCAGAGGAAGTCGATCAACGGGCATACGGAGGACATGGCCTAGCCTACGTAAGCAATTAAAATACAAGAAACACTCGAGTAAGGCACCAGAAGTTTGCATACCGAAAACCAACTTCCGGACCCCAGTAGTACTCACCCAGTGTTCCCATCAGAGGTGAGCAATACCCCGCAAGCATCGGTGGTCAAACACGATAAAGAGTTTAATGTTTTCGCCGCGAATTGACATGGTCTCTGATCCATACCTTTCACTGATAGGCTGATATCCCGCCGATTCCATAAATGGTTGAACCTATCGAAAGCCACATGCGCCTTGCCGGTCCAGTCCTGTAACAGCACTTTGCACTCTTAACGTGTAAAGCACATGACGAAGCGAGCAGCGCTATGCGTGAGTACCGT